CTCGGTTTCCCCGCGCGCCCGCGCCCTGACCTCCAGGCCGCCGCCGCTCTGCAGCTGGATGCTTGAGTCGCGCGCGACCGTGGACGGTGCCCGGGTCCGAGGCGCGATTTTGGGGGGGGCGATGGTAGGGTGTGGGTCGCCCGCTGGGGTGCGCGTCCTGCCCGTGGCAGAGGAGGGGGCCGGGGTTGCTGCTGCCCAGCTCCGAGGGGCTGGAGCCCCGGGGCCCCCCGCCGGATACCAGCCCCCCCCCAACAGCCGCGTCTTCGCCGCGTGACCTTGGGCAGGGAACCACCTAGAAACGCTCGCCGCCGAAACGAAGGATTTGGTTCCGAGCCGGGAGGGGCCACCTCTAATGTCGTGCCTCAGTTTCCCTTATAGAAAGGGTGGGAGGAGCTTCCTGGGGGCCCCTTGGGCGGTGACATTTCCTGGATCCATAACATTGCACCTCCCCCGCCAGCGGCCTCCTCCCTCCCCCCCCCCCAGTCCTCACCTGGATGTCTACAGGGCCAGGTATTTGGAAGGAAGGTCCCCTCCACCCATGAGAGGCTTGTTCTGCACCTGCATCCTTGTAAGGGGTGGGGGGAATAGACAGGGGGCAGGGGCAGGGGCAGGTACACCAGGTCTGAGTGGGGCTGAAGACAGGGCAGAGCTGTTGTACGAAGAGGCCTGCTGGGCCCTGTGGAGGGGGGTGCCTGGGGCTTCCTGGTTAGCTGGTCATGATTGAAAAACCCTCCCTTGTGGACAGTCTTGTCTCTGTAGGTCTGGGGCCCTTCGCTGGTGCTGCCAGACCAGAAGGATGAGAATCGCAGGGACACTGACAGGACCCATTGGGGGCTGGCAGAAGCCAACTGTGAGGTAGGCAGGCTGAAGTGCCTGGCTCTTCAGCATTCCAGGGCTGTTTTGGGGTCTGATGGGTTGGACGGCTTGTAGATTGGTCCTGGCAGCAGGAAGGGTGACCATTTGGCCCCTTTAGGGGGCCCCTTGAAGCCCCTGTGCCATTGGTCTTCGTGTCTTGGCATGTCCTCAGCATGTCCACAAGGGTTTCTGGCACCGAATCCATGCATCGGTGACAGTCCCCAACAACCAGAAGCAGGGGCAGACCTTAGGCAAAGGTAGGAGCCAGCCCCCCCCCTTCCTGGGCACCCTGCCAGGTCAGGTGGGCCAGCTCTGTGCTGCCCTCCTCCTCCCCAGGACTCTGACAGGCAGGCTTTGTGTGGGGGCGTGGGCGGGCAGTTGCTGTGCTTGGGTCATTTCTGCTTGTGATGGCTTCATTTAGCATCGCTTTATCGAGTCTGCCAGGCCCTGAGGGATGGTGGCATGACTCAGGCCCTGGCTGCCTGGTGCCCCAGAGCCCACAGTCCCACTGGGGAGGCAGCCAGGTGCCCCAGGCAGAAGCCACGAGGGAGCCAGGAGAGGGTCTCTGCTGTGGAATCCAGGAGCTTCGTGGAGAAGGTGAGGTCACCTCGGGCTCTGCAGCATGGGGAGCGCTTATCCTTGCGCACATTGGGATGTGGAGGATGTGGTATGGATGGGTATGGAGAAAAACAAGCACACATTGAACACCACTGTGTACGGTTCCCTAGCTGGCTCCCCGAGTGGACAGGGCACTGAGAGACCTAAAAGCCCAGGACAGGGTGAGCGCAGGCACCCAAGACTTCCTGTCATAGTCTGGGGTGGGGGAAATGTGGAGTCCTGGCACTTGAGGATCAGAAAAGGTGTGAAGATCATCTGGGCCAAGCCTAACCATTGTGGGAATCAAACCACCTCCCAGGCCAGCTCAAAAGGGGCGTGTTCCCCCCCTCCCCCCCTTGAGCATCTGATACAGCACACTGAGACCTTTACAGAGTAAATAATAAGTAAGCTTGCAAAGAGCGAATGTCTCCACACTTGTAATCCTAGCTATGCAGAGGGCTGAGATATCAGGATCAAGGTTTGAAGCCAGCCCAGGCAGAAAAGTCCTCAAGACTTTATCTCTAGTTAACAAGTAAAATGCTGGACTAGAGGCATGGATTAATTGGTCAAGTACCAACTGTGAAGGAAAAAACCTAGTACTGAGTTCAAGCCTTAGTACTGCCACAAAGAAGGGGGAAAAGTAAAAATATTTTTTAAAAAAACCCTGCTGATTATTGGAAAATATGCAAATCATGCATGAGAGTTGGACAAAAAATATGAATCCTAGGCACCAATGGCTCTGTAATCCTAGCTACTCAGAAGGCTGAGATTCGAGGATCACAAGTTCAGAGCCAGCCCAAGCAGGAAAGTTGCTGAAATGCTTAAAGCCAAGCTATGGCTCAAGTGCAAGAGTTCTTGCCTTGCATGCATGAGGCCCTGGGTTCAGTACCGTAGCACCACATAAACAGAAAAAAAAAAAAAAAGCCTGAAGTGGCACTGTGGCTCAAGTGGTAGAACGCTAGCCTTGAGCTGAAGAGCTGAGGGACAGTGTGCAGGCCCAGAGTTCAAGTCCCATGACCGACAAAAAACAAACTCAGGGTCAGCACCCAGGCCCTGAGTTCAGAGCCTAAGACTGGTACACACACATACCCCCCCCAAAAAAAAACCAACCCAAAAAACCTATGAACAGATAATACCACTGGACTGTACAGTAGGAGGATGGGGTTGAGGATGTAACTCTAGGGTAGAGCCCTTGTCTTGAGTTCGATCTCTCACTGCAAAAAGAAAAATGGTGAAGACCATAATGTCGTATGAACTATACCATAACTGAGAAAACTGGAGGAGGGGAAACACTGTCCTTTGGGGCAGTTCATGTAGTGCTATGTTTGTTCTCTCTCTCCCTTCCTCCCCTGTCTCTGTTTTCCAGAGCTGAGGACCAGACTTAAGGCCTTGCACTTGCCAGGCAAGTGCTCTTCCACTGAGCTAACTCCTCAACCATTGTTCTCTATTTTTAATTTTTTAATTTTTTTTGTTGGTCGTGGGGCTTGAACTCTGGGCCTGGGAGCTGTCCCTCAGCTCTTCAGCTCAAGACTAGCTAGCATTCTACTACTCCAGCCACAGCACCACTTCTGGTTTTCTGAGTGGTTAATTGGAGATAAGAGTCTCACAGACTTTCCTGCACAGGTTGGCTTTGAACCTCGATCCTCAAATCTCAGCCTCCTGAGTAGCTAGGATTACAGGCGCGAGCCATAGACGCTGGCTATTTTTATTTTTATTTATTTTTTGTTGGTCGTGGGGCCTGAACTCTAGGCCTGGGCACTGTCCCTCAGCTTTTTAGCTCAAGGCTAGCTCTCTACCATTTGAACTACAGCGCCACTTCTGGCTTTATCTGTTTATGTGATGCTGAGGAATCAAACCCAGGGCCTCATGCAAGCGAGGCGAGCACTCTACCACTGAGCCACCTTCCCAGCCCTTGTACTCTCTTTTTTTAAGTTTTAGCAAGGATTTATTTTAGTTTCATAAGGCTAATGTAGAGAGAAATAGAAAAGGAGAGAAACGTTTCTTGCTCCTTATGCAAGAAATGGAAGTTGAAGACTCTGGTACTATATTTAGTCTTTTGGGGAAATGTGTGTATGCTGAAACATCTTATCAGGTTAGGGAGGGGGGGTGATGGGTGCTGCTGCCTTCCTGCCCATGGCCCTTTGCACACCATGGCCCTTTGCACACCACTCCCTTTGCATACTGCAGGTCTGCTAGAACAAATGGTTCCTGGTCTCCAGGTCTCAGGTGACCAGATCCTCCTGGTTGCTGGAACTTGCTTGGCATTAGCCCCTCAGCCCATGGCAAAGTGGGAGGGTTGGCATTTAGGATTCCTATATTACCTGTGCCTCACCACCCCCCTGGAGGGCTCCACCAACATGTGCATGCCCACTTGCGAGTTTGTAAAATTTATGCCAGAAAGATCCAGATGTCAGGTGTGATGACACATGCCTGTAAGCCTGGCATTTGGGAAGTTGAGGTTGGAGGATCTCAAATTGGAAGCTAGCCTGTCTCAAAAGTTCGAAAAGAGCCAGGCACGGTGGCTCACACCTGTATTCCTAGCTACTCAGGAGGCTGAGATCTGAGGATTGTGGTTCAAAGCCAGCCTGGGTAGGAAAGTCCATGAGACTATTAGCTACAATTAGTCACCAGAAAACTGGAAGTGGTGCTGTGGCTCACCTGATAGAGCACTTGCCTTGAGCTGAAGAGCTCAGGGATAGTACTCAGGCCCAGAATTCAAGCCCTATGACAGACCAAAAAAAAAAAACTAAAAGGTGGGGGGTAAAGCTCTTGCCCAGGCATGCTCACAGCCATGAGTTCATTCTCCAGTACTACAAGGAGAGTGGGAGAAGGTCATTAAGAAGAGAGAAAGAGAGAGAGAGAGAGAGAGAGAGAGCACTCACCAGGCACCAGTAGCTCACACCTGCATTCCTAGCTACTCTGGAGGCTGAGGTCTGAGGATTGGGGTTCAAAGTCAGCTTAGGCAAGAAAGTCTAAAAGACTCTTATCTCCAATTAACCACTAAAAAATCTGAAAGTGGAGCGGTGGCTCAAGTGGTAGAGCACCAGCCTTGAGGGAAAACAAACCCAGGGACAACACGCCGGCCCTGAATACAAGCCCCAGGAACAGCACAAAATGGAGATGGTCAGTCGGGCTTCCAAATCATGTAAGTTGCAGACCTCACCTAACTGAGACCCACACTGGACCCTGAGCTTCTGGAGCTTTCAGGAGCCCCTCTGCCTGGGGGGGGGGGTCTGCTTCTGCTCTTCCAGGCCACTGCTTTCCTAGGCTGGGCGAGGCTGGGCGAGGCTGGGCCTGGCCTTCCTCTGCCTCACTGTAGGGAGCTTAAGTTGCAGCCTTGTCTAGGGCAGTCTGGGAGCTGCCACCTCCATTTGGGTTTGGGAGTAGCTATGATATTCAGCAAGTGTCCCTTCCTCTTTTCCTGCCTTGATTTCCCCACATGACCCAGGAGGCTGGTATGGGTTAGAGGTGTGGATCTGTTGCCAGTCCACAGGACTGCAGCATGCCGGGGGTGACTCATTTCCTGGTTCTGGAGCCTGAGGGGAAACAGCTACCACCAGGAATCATGTTCATTTCTGAGCGCGGGGCGCCTTTGGTTTGGAATTAAGGATCTTTCTTTGGGGGCTTGAAAGGACCAATCAAGGAGAGAATATATCAGTGCTGGGTCTGTTGTTGCTGTTCGCATTTGCTGGTCCTGGAGCTTGAACTCAGGGCCTGGGTGCTGTCCTTGAGCTTCTTTTGCTCAAAGTCAGTGCTTTACTTTGTGAGCCACAGTTCTACCCCTGCTTCGGCTGGCTTCAAACCACTTTGCAGTGCTACTATTACAGGCGTGAGCCTCTGTTTTGTTTTGCTTTATATCCATCCTGGGGCTTGCCCTCAGGAACTGCGTGCTGTCCCAAGGTTGGTGCTTTACCACCTGAGCCATAGCTCCATATACAGCTTTTTTTGGTGGTTAATTGAAGTTAAGAATCTCACAGATTTGCTGGCACCAGTGGCTCACGCCTGTAATCCTAGCTACTGAGGAGGCTGAGATCTGAGGATCATGGTTCAAAGCCAGCCCGGGCAGGAAAGTCCGTGAAACTCTTATTTCTAATAAACCACCAGAAAACCAGAAGTGGGATTGTGGCTCAAGTGGTAGAGCGCTCACCTTGAGCTGAAGAGTGCAGGGACAGCGCCCAAGCGCAGAGTTCAAGCCCCACAACCGACAAAAAAAAAAAAAAAAGAATCTCACAGATTTTCCTGTCCTGGCTGGCTTTGAATCCTGATCCTCACATCTCAGCCTCTTGAGTAGCTAGGATTACAGATGTGAGCCACCAGAGTTTGGTTGGCATCCCAGCCCTGGTTGGCATTTTTCACAGTCCATCTTGGACTCTTGCCTCTGGTCAAGGCCAATGCTTAGTGCTGCGTCTCCCTCAGGTCTAGGAGAGGCCAGCACAAGGGGACCTGAGGGAGATGCTGAACTGTGGTTTCGATCATGCCTTGAGAGAGCTTCCTTGGTTACTGGGGCAGCTGGAGGATTGGGGGACTTGAAAGCCCAGCTTCTCCCAGCCTCAGTTTCCCCTCTGTGACATGAGTTGCAGTGGCTGGTTTGGGGGAGTCTGGAAAGTGGTGGCAGTGGTGAGCTCCTTGTGTGTCCTGCCATCCCCATTTGACATAGGTGCTGGGGGGCGGGGGCAGGACCTGAGAGGCACCCCAAGCACAGCACAGGGCCCAGTGACCCAGTGAGCCAAGTGGCTAGGCACACCTGAGCCTGGGGGCAAAAGCAGGAAGGTGAGGGAGGATGGGAGGCGAGGAACAAAGCCAGGAGAGGGAGGGAAGAGAGGAGAGGCAGATGGCAGTGCTGTTGGAGAACCCTCTCTTGGCACTCAGACCGGAAGAACCAGCTGTCCTGGGGGAGGGGACAGCGGGAGCATGGGGAAGTGCCCTGTGGTAGCCTCCTCCAGCCCTGCCTGGTGTGTGACTTGAGCTAGATGCCGGTGCTCGTGGGCCTCAGGGTGGGAAAAGGACGCTGGATGGAGCTGGTGGTTCCCAACTCGTGTACCCCGAAAGAACCTATTCTTGTTCTTCCTGTGCTCCTAAGGTGGGGGGGCTTTGGGGTTGTGAGATACCCCATAGGCTCATGTGCTGAAGGCTTGTCTCCCGGCTGGTGGCCCTATTCTAGGAGGCCTTAGGCACCATGGAGGTCAGACTTAACTGGAGGAAGTGGGTGTGATTCTCCATTATTCTGGGTCCCTAACCTCCCCCACCCCGCCCATCCCCAGCCTTCTCTACACCCCGTCCCCCAGTCTGCCCATGTGTGTGTGGCCAGGTGACTCCAGACCCCATGGACCTGATACCATGAGCCAGAATCAGTCTTTCTGTCTTTGTGTCAGGTATCAGTGACAGTGTCAATGAGAGCTGACAATTGCTCTGTCAAGCCGGGTGCTGGTGGCTCATGCCTGTAAGCCTAGCTACTCAGGAGGCTGACATCTGAGGATTGAGATTCAAAGCCAGCCCTGGCAGGAAAGTCCGTGAGACTCTTTTGTTTTTTTTTGTCGGTCGTGGGGCTTGAACTCTGGGTCTGGGCGCTGTCCCTCAGCTGTTCAGCTCAAGGCGAGCGCTCTACCACTTGAGCTACAGCGCCACTTCCGGTTTTCTGGTGGTTTATTGGAGATAGGAGTCTCACAGTCGCTCCTGCCCGGGCTGGCTTTGAACCGCGATCCTCAGATCTCAGCCTCCTGAGTAGCTAGGATTACAGGCATGAGCCACCAGCGCCCGGCCCGTGAGACTCTTATCTCCAATTAACCACTAGAAAACTGGAAGTGGCGCTGTGGCTCAAGTGGTAGAGCACTCATGTTGAGCTGAAGAGCTCAGGGACAGTGTCCAGGCCCAGAGTTCAAGCCCCACAACAAACAAACAAAAACAAAACAAAGATGAAATGTCAAGAGCTACCTTTTTGCCAGAGGTGAAGTGGAGGATCCTGGTCCATGGCCTGTCCAGACAATAGTGAGGAACTCCATCCAAAATAAACAAACAGGAAAGCCAAAGGACTGAGGCTTTGCCATCCAGACCTTGCCTGAGTTTACTCTGTAAACCTCCACATGCGATTGAGCAGAGGACCCCGGGGCTGTGCCGTGCCGTGCGTGTGAGGAGCACAGTGTCACAGCCTGGCCCTGTGTTCCAGGGATGGAGTTGTCCTTGGCTCCCCTGTGCTGGGTGGCAGGCACAGGACACGGGGACCCTTCCTGGGGGAAAGGTCGGGTGTGAGCTGGAGCAGCCCCAGCTGTGGACATGCAGACGCTGGGGGTCTTCAGGTCCCCACAGAGCATGGTGTCCCCAGTCTTGACCCCCTAAGCCGCTCCCAAAGTCGTACCTCTGTGACCCTGTTATATAAACTGCGCTGTCACCGGGCCTGTCTCCTAATCCTTGTCTCCAGCTACTCAGTGGGGGCCTTTTTTGCCCCAGGCCGGAAGTGAGAAACAAGGCCCTCTTGACTCCTGAGGCCATGCCTGGACCTTCTGCCCCCCCCCCCATGTCACTGCAGTCCTGGGAAGCTGCTTCCTCCCCCCGGCCAGCCCTGCTGGTCCCCTGGTGTCACAGAAGCCTTCTGCTGCCCACGCTTCGTGTGGTCATCGGTGGTCCTTCTCATACCCCGGCCGCCCTCCCCTCCTTCCGCAGCCCCTGGGTCGGCCCCTCTCGCACATCTGCAGCTTCTCTGGCCTCCCCTCCTCCCCTCCTCCAGCCCCTTTGCCCTTTCTGCTTCTCCCTTACAAGTGGCTGTTATCCCCCTCAGGAAGTACTCCCCGGCGGAGGCGGGCCTGGTCCCCGTGCAGGCTCTTCCTGGCTCCCCCACACTTGTCAAGATCAGCCGCGACCTTCACGTGGCCTTCATGTTGCCAGATCCTGAGGCAGATTGTTCTTGATGCATCTCAGCCGACAGGGAGGGCCTGGGCACATTCGCATGTCCCCCCTTGAACCCGGGCAGCAAGGTTGCAGACATGCCCACCCGCCCATCAGTGCACAGCACTCCTCCTCCCGGCGCCCTGTGCCCGGTCCTTGCCAGGGAAAACTCACCGTCTAGAGAGAGAACTGCGGCCGGGAAAGGCTCGCATGTGGGAGTGAGCAGCGGCCACAAGCAAGGGGACACTTGCCCAGCTCAGGGACAGCGAGGAGACGGTAACTAGAGGACCGGAGGCCGGTGCAAGTCACCCCATGGGGTTCGAGCCTTGAAGGACATGGATTTTCCCAGGCCCAAGGCATCACCCAGCTTCAGGAGGGTTCCACGTGTATGTGAGTGGGGTGGGAACTGTCCTTTGTTCTTCTCCTACCCATATTCCCATTTGGTCACCTTCTCCATGAAGCCTTCCTGGATTTCCCAGCTTACTCTCTCCACCCTGTCCTGCCACTCTTGGTGCTCCAGTGATGGCGGTGAACTCTTTTTTTTTTTTTTGGTCCGGTTGTGGGGCCTGAACTCTGGGCCTGGGCGCTGTCCCTCAGCTCTTCAGCTCAAGGCTAGCGCTCTACCACTTGAGCCACAGCGCCACTTCTGGCTTTTTTCTTTTTGCTTATGTGGTACTGAGGAATCGAACCCAGGGCCTCAGGCATGTAAGGCAAGCGCTCTACCACTGAGCCACCTTCCCAGCCCGGCGGTGAACTCTTAAAGCAGTGGCCTCTCTCCCACAGCCTTTCTTCTGGAAGGTAGGCAGGGCCAGGGCTGGCTCACCTCCCTGAGGCCCTGGAGCCCCCCCCAGAAGGGATGAGGAACAGTGTCAGGAAGGTAGAAAGGCTGGGGTGGTAAACCCTGCCCTTCCCGACTCCTGTATAAAATGGGGACAGCAGTGGCCACCTCCTAGGCTGTTGAAGTGTCCGCGGCTTAGCTGAGTCTGGGGCTCAGATTCTGTGCCATTGTCACAGGTGGTGACGTTATCCCCTCCCTTTCTTGTGCCCAAAATATCAGAGGCAGCGAGGTCACAGGATCACAGCCCACGTGCATCAGCCAGAGGGAGCCCAGGACAGCCAAGAGCCCCTTTGAGGCTCACTGAACCCTTCCGGTGGGCCCCCGGCCCCGTTGGAGAGAGTGGTACGGGAGTCATCTCCACGCCTGGAGAGCCTGACCCATCCCGTCCCTCCCCACTAGACCTGGTGGGGACAGCTGTGAGAAGATTACCTCCTAATCCGGGCTGGGCTGGGGCCAAGGCTGCGGGGAGGAGAGGAGGCCTGGCTCCCTGCATGCCGCCCTCCCACCCCACCCCGTCCCAGCCCTGAGGGGCTCCCTCATGAGACGCTATGCTGGCTTTGAGGTTTCCCTCACATGAGCTGGGGACGGGGTGTGGGCAGCCGGCCTCGTCCCTCGGCATGGCCACCAGAGGCAGGATCAGGCCTGCGGCGGGAGGCTGGCGTCGGTGCATAGACCCAGCACTTGCTGGGTACCAGTGGCTCACACACGTAACCCTAGTTATTCAGGAGGCTGAGCTAGGAAGATTGCAGCTCAGAGGGAGACCAGGCAGGAAAGTCCACAAGGCTCCGGTCTCCAGTTAACGTGCAAAACGTCCAAAGTGGAGGTGGGGTTCAAGTGGTAGAGTGCTAGCCTTGGGTAAAAAAGCCAAGAGACTGAGTTCAAGTCCCAGGCCTGGTGCACACGTGTGCATGTACACACACACACAAAAGGGGCTAGGGGTGTGGTCAGTGCTACCATGCCTGCCTAGCCTGGAGTTCAAACCCCAGTTCTGCCTCCAAGAGAGAGAGGGGAGAAGGGTGAGGAGAGGAAGTATAAGGGGGGCTGGACGAGGGGCCTGTGCCCTGGGAGCAGCATGGGGCTGTGGATGAGGCCGTGGAGCGGCCAGGAGAGGCCCACACAGGGGCCTCAGAGCCACCCTTGGAGATGGGCTTTCTCAGTAGCAGCAGGGCTGGGCAGCGGGGGGCAGGGCCAGGGCTGCTCCCGCTGTCTGGCTGGGGCACACTGCCCCACTCAGGGTGGCTGGAAGGACCATGAGGCCCCAGATGTCATCTCTCCGAGCTTGGCTGGGGAAAAGCCAACCAGCACTTCACAGCGCAACCTCTGGAAGTCCCTGCTGGGCATTGACCTCTATCACCCATGCCAGCTGGGCATCTCCTCCCGAGAGCCCCGCCCGTGGCCCAGGCTCACCCCGATGGGTTCTGCCCATGAAGCAGGAGCACCATCTGGTCCCCAAAGCAGGGTGGTCTGTCCCTCCACCTGGCCACCAGCCATCGGCAGGTGTCCCTCCTTGGTCTTGTGCTGATTCTGGGGTTTGTGGACGGGGGTGGGGGGAGGATTTCTGTTCTGGAACGGTGCAGGAGGATGTCTGAGCCTCCATGTCCATTTTTGCTCACGCGAGTGTCAAGAGCCCTAGGAGGCCACAGGCCAGCTCAGGCTGGAGCGTGGCCAAGTTCCCCATCCCGGGAGGTTCTGGAAGGGTGACGGCTTGTGAAGAGGGGAAACCATACAGAATTTTCATACAGCCAGTCCTGTGAAACAGGGCAGGGGCCGCCGCAGATGCGTAGGGTCACCGAGGGCACAGCACTTCCGAGTCTCTGGTTCTTTACACCTCTGAATCCAGCCACCCAGGATCCTGCAACTTCCTGATTCCGAGCTTCCTTGTGCTTCGGTTTTGGAGCTGGATGTGGGTCTGCACCACGCACCATCTGGAACCGTCTCTGGAGAGTCGGGTTGGGATGCAGAGGAGGCAGAAACCCGGCTCTTTACCTGGGCTGCTTCCCGAGCCCAAGGGGAGGTGTGGTTTTCCAGGATGTGAGCAGCAGACTCCCCCAGACCTCCCTGGCCATCACCTGTCCCCCTGTTCTGTGCGGCCCCGCGGCTGGTTGTGTGAATTCCCCCAGTGCCTCTGCGGCCGAGGCTGGTGTAGAGTTGCGTTCTGGTTTAGTTTCCGGTTGTCTGGTGTCTTCTTGTGCCGCTCTGGGAGTTCCTTGTGGTCCCTGCAGATCTGGCTGTAAGTCACCAGGGTGGCACTGGCACCGGCTTTGGATTCCAAGAAACTTGTGTTGCAGTGGCGGCCAGCTTGGTGGCCTGGACGGGCGAGGCCCCCCTGGCGGGTTGCAGCGTGGTCTCAGCTCACCACATCCGACAGGGGAAGCCCCTTCCAGGGCTGCCCCGCCACAGCAGGCCGAGGCAACCGGGGGCCACGTCCTCCTGTCCTGTTCTGCTCTGCTCCTGCTTAGGTGGAGGGCCGAGAGAATTCTGCAGGGAGTCAGGACACCCCTGGGGCCAGACCGCTTCTCCCATCTCTGCCCGCACCAGTCCCAGCCCCAGTTCCCTCGCCCAGCTGCTGCTGGAGTTCCTGCAGACTCCCTTCCAGCTCCTCCGCAGCTAAGGTCACAGCTCTTCATGTCTGCAGTGGCTCCTGGGCCTGCCCCTGACCCTCAAGGTCCTGGACACCAGCCCCTGCCCACCTCAGGGACCTGCCTCACTTCTCAGGGGTCTCCCCTTCGCTCATTCTGCTCCAGCCGCTGTGGCCTGCAGCAGCTTCTCGATACACCACGCTCATTTGCACCCTAGAGCCTTTGCACTTGTGGCTTCGACCTCTTCCAGCTATCTGATTGGCTCAGGGCCCTCACTGCAGTCGGGTCACTTGTGAGAGACTCCACTGGCCGCCAGGTTCTCCCTTGGCCCATGCAGGATCTGGGGCTCAGGTTAAGTCACCACACAACAGGTTCCTGACCCACAAGGCCAGGACGGGGTGCCCCTCCCAGCACAGTGCCACCACACACCCAGGAGCTTGAGATCTGTGCTAAGTGCTGACCCAGGCCTGAGGCCACTGGAGCTGTGGGGTTGTGACCACTGAGGGTGATCACACGCCCAGTCCTGAGGTTTGAACTCAAGACCTCAAGTTTGCCAGGCAGGCACTCTACCACTTGAGCTACACTCCAGCGCTCTTTTTTAGACTCTCTCTCTCTCTCTTTCTTTCTCTCTCTCAATGTGTATTGGTACTGGGGTTTGAACTCAGGGCCTGGGTACAGTACCTTAGCTATTTTGCTCAAGGATAGTGCTCTGCTACTTGAGTCACAGCCCCACTTTCCAGCTTTTTGGTGGTTGATATGAGTTTCATGGACTTTCTTGCCTGGTCTGGCTTCCAACCAAGATCCTCAGATCTCAGCCTCCTGACTGAGTGGCTAGGATTACAGGAGTGAGCCACTGGCACCCAGCTTTAATCCCTCTACCTTTGAGACATGATCTGCCTAATTTTGCCCAGACCTTTTCCTTCTGCTTCTGGGACTACAGGTGTGTAACACCATACTTGGCTCTGAGTGTGTTTTGATGTTGTTCTTCACCCTCTTGGGGACATACCGTCTCCAGCACTTTCCTCCAGGCCTCTCAGAGGAGTTCCTGTGTCTTCTCTCTAGAGAGCCCAGAGTTAATCGTTCCACCTCTGCTGCAGTCCCCAAGGCCTGGACTTCCGGACTTGTGCCTGCCTCCCTCTCCGCTCCTCTGGCTTTGGGGAGGCCCCTTGGTCCCTGCTTCTGCAAGGGGTCTATTTCTGTTTTCCCACTGGCTGCAGTAGTGTCTTCTCCAGCCCAGAAAGCAGCGGTGTCTTAGAAAGGCTCGCAGGTGTTTTTCTTTCTTTCTTGGCCTCGGTCTCACCCCAGTCCTCTGAGGCCCGCGTATTCTGGGTGCTTGTGTGCAGTTCTCTCCAGAGAAAGGCTCGGAGCCCAGTCCTCACATGCAAAGCACGTGCTCTAGGCTTGAGCTCCATCCCCAGCTGGCCAAGGCCCCAGAGCCTGCATGGCTGCAGTCCTCAGATAGGAACCCAGCAGGCCTGATACCTGTGTGTCTGACTTTTGCCAAATGCTTTGCACGGATGCTGCCCTGCAGGGCGTCCTCCCTGCTCATCTCTCACCTGGTTCCCTGGGTCTCTAGAAACACCACGTTTTTTCCTGGGCCACCCCCTGAAGCAAATGTCAGTTGGTTGCGTGGAGGGAGGGAGGGGCTGTAATCCGCAGACCTGGGCTCAGGTTCAGCTTGTGCTGCTGACCCAGGTATTGGGAGTTTCACTTTCTTCTTTTTTTTTTTTTGGGTCCAGTCGTGGGGCCTGAACTCTGGGCCTGGGCGCTGTCCCTCAGCTCTTCAGCTCAAGGCTAGTGCTCTAACACTTTAGCCACAGCGCCACTTCTGTCTTTTTTCATTTTGCTTATGTGGTGCTGAGGAATCGAACCCAGGGCCTCAGGCATGCAAGGCAAGCGCTCTACCACTGAGCCACCTTCCCAGCCTGGAGAGTTTCACTTTCTGAGCCTCGGTTTCCCAAGTAGCCCTCTTGGCTTTGGAGGCTGCTGGGGAGGCCAGGACACCTTCCCTGGGTCCAGAGGATGGCAGGAAGACACATCCCCTCTCAGGACTAGCAAATACTGTGGCTGGCCAGGACACCACAGATCTCCTCCTCCCCTTTCTCTTCTCCCCTCCCTCTTCCCTTTATATAACTGCCCAGTCCAGGTAGTTTCCACCTGTAATCTTAGCTACTTAACAGGCTGAGATCTGAGGACACAGGTTCAAAGCCATCCCAGACTGGAAAGTCTGTGAGACTCTTATCTCCAATCAACCACCAGAAAACCAGAAGTGGATCTGTGGCTCAAAGTGGTAGAGCTTCAGACTTGAGCAAAAGAGCTCAGGCCCTGAGTTCAAGCCCCATGACTGACAACAACAACAAAAAATTCATCCAAGTGCCAGTGGCTCCTGCCTGTAATCCTAGCTACTCAGGAGGCTGAGATCTGAGTATCAAGGTTCAAAGCCAGTTCAGGAAGGAAAAATCCATGAGCCTTTTTTTTTTTGGTCGGTTGTGGGGCCTGAACTCTGAGCCTGGGCGCTGTCTTTCAGCTCTTCAGCTCATGGCTAGCTCTCTACCACTTGAACCACAGCGCCACTGAGCCACCTTCCCAGCCCTCCATGAGACTCTTATTGCCACTAAATTACCAAAAAGCTGGAAATGGTCTTGTGGCTCAAAGTGGTACAGCACTAGTTTTGAGCACAAAAGCTCAGGAGAGTGTCTAGGTCCTGAGTAAAAAAAGAAAAAAATGAATTCCTGGTGCTATACAGCCCTGTCTTGTCTCTGTCTCAAACCCTTTATCACTCCATAAAAGCATCCTGTGCCCATTGAGTAATCACCCCACCCCCTCCCTGCCCTGTGGCACCTACTACTCCTGTCTATCAAGTATAAAAGTCATCCTACAGAGCTGGGCACTGGGGGCTGGGAAGGTGGCTCAGTGGTAGAGTGCTTGCCTTGCATGCATGAGGCCCTGGGTTCGGTTCTTCAGCACCACATAAGCAAAAAGAAGCCAGAAGTGGCGCTGTGGCTCAAGTGGTGGAGCGCTAGCCTTGAGCTGAAGAGCTGAGGGACAGTGCCCAGGCCCAGAGTTCAGGCCCCACAACCGGACCCCCCCCAAAAAAAGGATCAGTATGGAGTGAAAACAGAGATTACTGCCTCTGTAACCCAGAGGAAGAGCCTTTATCTAGCTTGCATCAGAGCTGGGCACTGGTGACCATGCCTGGAAATCCTAGCCACTCAGGAGCTGAGATCTGAAGATCATGATTCAGCCTGGGTAGACAAATCTGAGAGACTCTTATCTTGAGTTAACCAGCAAAAAGCTGGAAGTGGAGGTGGTGGCTTAAGTGGACTTAAGTGGGCTCCATCTAGGAGTGAGCAAGTCAACTAAGAGCATAGGGTCCCGAGTTCAAGCCCCAGTACCAGCAAAGACATGACCATATGTGACCCTGAGTGCCTGGCTTGTTTTCAAGAACCACCTTCATGGCTCTTCTTTGTATGGCCAAATTATAACTAACTTGGTAGGTTTTTTGTTTTTGTTTTTTATTTTTGTTGTTGTTTTGTTGGTCATGGGGCCTGAACTCTGGGCCTGGGTGCTGTCCTTCAGCTCAAGGCTACTGCTCTACTGCTTGAGTCACAGCGCCACTTCTGGCTTTTTCTGCTTATGTGGTGCAGAGAAATCAAACCGAGGGCCTCATGCAAGGCAAGCACTCTATCACTGAGCCACCTTCCCAGGCCAATATGAGACTCTTATCTCCACTGAACTACCAACAACACTGGAAGTAGAGCTGTGGCTAAAGTGGTAGAGCAAAAGAAGCTCTGGGACCAGTGTCCAAATCCTGGTTCAAACCCCAGGACCAGCATGTGCATGCTTATATGCACACGTGTGTGTGTGTGTGTGTGCGTGTGCGCGCGTGCACACACAATAATGTCTCAGAGAACATTAGCAGTGCTTCTCTTGCTTGTCCATACACCCAGGCTCACTGCCCCTCCTGGCTCATGTTGGAATTGCTTTCCTATTCTAGCAAAACAGAAAGCAGAGACAAGTGAACTCCCCCAGCTCCCGCCTCTGACACGTCACAGGCCACACTTAGGACTGAGCCCTCTGTGTGTGTCAGGACTGGGATCTGAACTCAAGGCCTCACCTTCTCCCTTGGCTTTTTCAGTCAAGGCTAGCGCTGTACCACTTGAACAATAATACTTCCACTTTCAGGGCGCTTAGGCCTGGTCTGTCTCCTGATGTAACTTAGGAAAGGTGAGTGGCCTGAGGAGGAAGCCTGGCCCTTAAGATTTTACTGGGCATGTTCATAATACCCGAGCCTTGACCGCCTCTTCTGCAAAATGCTGGCGATACTGAGGTATTAGCAATTGCTGCGTAACCAAACTTACGGCATAAGAGCGCACATTTATCATCTCACAGTTTCTCTGTGTTAGAAATCTGCACTTCTGGGTGTTGATGCTTAGGGTCCCTTAAGCTGCGGCCCCAATATCAACCAGGGATGTGGTCTCATCTGACTGCTCTACTGAGGACAGATCCAAATTCAAGTTCTCTTCTGTGGTGCTGGTGGGCTTCACCAGCCGCTGACAGAGTCTCAGCTCCCTATCAGCTGTTACACACTTCCCTCAGTCGCATGCCAACTTCTCCGCGGGGCAGCTCCAAATGTGACAGCTAACCTCCAGCAAGTGAGCAGCGGCCAGGGGCAGGGGTTAAGGGGCAAGCTAGGCGGGAGCCGGCATCGTTTTGTGATCCTCACTTAGAAGCTGTGTCCCACGCTTTTGCCATATGCTATCTGGTAGAATCCGCCGCCGTCAGCAGGTGCAGGGTACCTGGATGTGGGTGGCAGAGGTGGGGCTGGCCTCCAGCAGAGCTGAGCCTGCAGGGGTGGCTGACTGTAAATGAGGTAGCATGGTGGCCTGAGGGGAGGACACAACTCCTGTGGTTTTCAGTCATCACCCTATCTAACTGCCAGGGCCTGCGCAGCCCTGGCCATAGAAAGGGTGGGGACCGGGCTGGGCAGCATGGGGGGAGGGGCTTGACAAGTTTATGCCCAGGGTGGCCTGTAAGTAAGGTCCCATTTCAGGGAACAGTCCAGTCCCAGGGGCCTTAGCCATGGGCTCATGGAGTCCACAAGTGGTAGGGCCTTCGATCCTTGTAGCTGAGGAAGGAAGCGATTGCTCTTCCTGAGCTGTGTGACCCAGGGCTAGTTGCCTCCCCACTCTGAGCCTCCAGTGTGTCCCAACTCACATGGGGGCAGGCAGCAGGTGACAGCAGTGTCAGCAGGTGTGTCCTGTCCTGGCTCACCCCTCCCCACCCCCCCCAGGTGTTCTCCATTGTGGTGTTTGGCTCCATTGTCAATGAGGGCTACCTCAACAGCCCCACGGAGGGCGAGGAGTTCTGCATCTACAACCGCAACCCCAGCGCCTGCAGCTACGGCGTAGCCGTGGGCGTGCTGGCCTTCCTCACCTGCCTGCTCTACCTGGCCCTGGACGTCTACTTCCCGCAGATCAGCAGCGTGAAGGACCGCAAGAAGGCCGTGCTGTCTGACATTGGTGTCTCGGGTGAGTCTGTGGAGGCCCCCTGGCCCCTGGGCAGGCCGTGGGGGGGACCCTCTTTCCTGTCTCGGTGCTCCCTGTGCTCCTCCCCGTGAGCCTCAGTCTCCCCCTTGTCCTGGCTCTGCCCAGCATAGACCTGCACCCCCTGTCCATTCCCCAGAGCCTCTGGCAGGGCCCTGCTCTGCTCTGGGGGCTCCAGGGCCCGCCTCGGCCATCCTGGCCTGGGGCCTGGGGCTCCTTAGACCTTCAGGAAGGACTGGAACTAAGTGAAAGGCTCTTACACTTCCACAGAGCCCCAGGGATCCCCAGCAGTGTGTCTGTGGGTTGGGCTCTGCGCCCGCCGCCGCCCCCCTCACACATGGCGTGCGCTGAGCTGCTCCTGGCGGACCCCTTATTGAGCCCCGAACCCAGCTCTCAGAGACTCTCACTGTGTCAGGCTCTGTGAGACTAGAAGAGGAAGTCCAGCTCTCCCCCCTCAGCACCCCAAAGCCACCACCCTTGCCCTGCTTCCCTCCCACCCCCAGTGCTGCAGGCCCAAGCGGAGGCCAGCAGCAGGTGGGCCGAGGGCCCCAGAGAGGGAAATGGATGGAATTTAGAGTGCAGAGGGCAGAGCCTTGCAGCCTAATTTGCTCATTCTCTCTCCCTCCCCTCCCCTCCCCTCCCCTCCCCTCCCCTCCCCCATTTGTCCTTCCTATACTGTGGACTGCCGTGGCACCCTCTGCCCTGGCCACTCTCCCTTGGGCCTGGCTCTACCCTGTCTTCCTCATCTCCCTGCTACATCTTCCGGCGGCCTGCCCCTCCTCTGCCCTCACCTCTGCTTGGCGGGAGGGGTTCTGTGAACTTCTGTTTCCTGTGTTCCCCCCCTCCCACCCCCATGTGTCACTCTTCCTATACAACCTGCCTTGGGACCCCCAGCCTTCTGGGCCTTCCTCTGGTTTGTGGGCTTCTGCTACCTGGCCAATCAGTGGCAGGTGTCCAAGCCCAAGGACAACCCACTGAACGAAGGGACGGACGCAGCCCGGGCCGCCATCGCCTTCTCCTTCTTCTCCATCTTCACCTGGGTGAGTACAGTGTCTTCTGAGCCCCCGGTTCCCCCAGCCAAGCCCAGGCCTTGCCTGCAGCCCTTGCTCCAGTCCCCTGGGGCACCCCCGGGTACAGTGGGCTTCCAGGTCAAGGCCGACCCTGCTAGCCTAGAGATGCCTTCGGGGGCCGTGCATCCTCCATCTCTCCGGGGTGGTCCTCATGTGCCCCGCATAGATAGGATGGTGGGGGCCTCGACAAGAAGGGAGATTTGGAAGTTTCCAGTCTGGGAAGGACCAGGCCTCAGGGTGAAGGAGACTGCCCCTGGCTTCCCGCCGGTCTCCCTCCCATCTCAGGATCTGGGCAGGGCCTGAGAGGGCCGAGGGTCCCCTGGGTGACCTGGCACACATCTGAAGACCCGCCCTGTTGCCAAGCATGGATGGGAACTGCAGAAGCCAGCATTTTGGTTTTTCCACAGAAACCAACATAGTTTTTACACCAATTCTGGTCTTTACGTTGTGGGTAATTTATTCAAGTTAAGCGATCTGGAGCTGAGTACCAGTGGTCCTGCCTGGGTGGCCGGGATCATGATGGTGATTTCAGTTGTAGGCCAGCCCAGGCAACAACGTTCCCGAGACCCCCTCTCCACCGGCCGCTGGGCACAGTGCCACATGCCTGTCATCATGGCTATGACAGGAAGCAGACTCAGGAGCTCCAGGTCCTCAGTGCAGTGGTGAGCACTGCTCACTGGAGGGGCGACCTATGATTCAGGTGGCCAGCCCTGAGGTCTCAGGCCTGGACAGGAAGATCTGGGTGATCCACAGAACTTTAGTGCTGAGAAGGTGCTCCCCCCTCCGCGACCCCCACTCCTCCCCCCAGTGGGAAGAGTTTGAAAGCTCTGGCCCCATGTGGGTGGGACTTGCAGAGGAGCCTGGTGATTGGGTATGAGCTCTTTAAAGGTGGGTCTGCAGCTCTGATAGACAGGTGCTGTGGGGCACCGCTGTCCTCCCCTCCTCCCCAGCGGCCTCACCCCTGCTCTCTCCGGCAGAGCCTGACTGCAGCCCTGGCCGTGCGCAGACTGAAGGACCTTTCCTTCCAGGAAGAGTACAGCACACTGTTCCCCGCCACTGCCCAGCCATAGCCCATCCCCCCCGCAGGGCAGGGAGTGCAGGCAGGCTGGCTTCAGGGACAGCCGAGCTTACCACTTGTTCATTCATTTGTTCATTCATTCATCATCTCTTTTGTTTATTCTTTGTATCTGTTAATTCAGTAAACATTTATTGAGCAGCTGTTTTGTGCTTGTGGTGGGTTAGGTGGGGTCTCTGGCCCAGGAGCTCACAGACGGGGGAGGGGAAGGCAGGAAGAACCACTCCCCAAGTAGGCCACAGGCTGGTAGAGGATGAGTGGCTCCATGACGCAGTCCGGGCTGCCAGCAGGTGTGCCCAGTTGGAGGAGCTCAGCTGTTGACTGATGGCCTGTCCAGGGCTGGATGGAGGCTGGCTGGCCCAGCCTGTCAGAGAATGTGGCTTGGCTTGTGGTCCTTTGCTGTGTGACCTAGAGCTAATCTCTGCACCTCTCTGAGCCTCAGTCCATTTTCCCTTGCAGCTGATTACAGGCCAGCTTCTCAAGGCAATTGTGCAATAAAACTAAGGCCAACATGGGCTTGGCCACAGGGATGCTCAATAAATGTAAATTCTGCTCATCCATCCATCCTCCTCTCCAGAGCTGGGGACACTCCCATAAGCTCTCCTTTCCTGGCGAGCCCTCTGTGCCCTGACGGGCTGCTCTGTGGCCCTCGGTGTCTGGGCAGCGCCCGCCCCTCCAACCTTCTGTGGGTGCTGAGGCAGTCGTGGTCAGCCTCACGGGGGCTGAGCTCAGAACTGTGCTGCCTGGCCCTGCGGCGCCCCGCGCTCACGGCCTGCTGCCTGGAGGAGGCCCGACAGAGCCCATGAGTCCCGAGACCCACGACCAGTGGACACAGGTCCCTGGCTCTCGGCAGGACTTGCTGCCTCCCCAGTGCAACCCAGGCCAGCCAGTCCCAGGCCTCTCCAAAGAGGCCTGGCCTTGGAGGCAGAAGACTGGCCACAGAGACAGTTAGTCCTCCATGCCTATGGCCACGGCCTCTCCCAAAGGCCCACAGAGCTCATCTGCTCCAGCCTTGGGCCCCTGTGTGGAGGCAGGGAAGGAAGGAGGCAGGGATGTGAGGACGGGTGCAGGGCTGAGGCCTTGCCTCGGGCTTTGTCCTCTGCTCCTGTGTGCTGCTCCTGGCTTGCCAGCAGCCCTCCCCGCCCTGCTTCTCCAGCCACAGCCTCTGAAACCCCAGCTGCGGGAACTCAGAGGGCCGCATCCACTCTTCCCAGCTGCTCTGGGCCTGTCTGCCCTCCCCCAGGTTTGGTGCTTTGCCTACGGTGGACCACAGCTTCCCTGGCCCCAGGAGCCTCCCCAAGCTGGGAGTATGGCTCATTGGTAGAAGTCTTACCTAGCCCTCCCAGAGTCCCATCCCCAGCATTGCAAAAAAGAGAAGGGAGCCAGGCGCTGGTGGCTCACACCTATAATCCTAGCTACTCAGGAGGCTGAGATCTGAAGATCACAACTTGAAGTCTGTCCAGGCAGAAAAGACCATGAGACTCTTATATCCAATTAAAAACAAGCAAACAAAACAAAACCAGAAGTAGAGCAGTGTCTCAACTGATACAGCACTAGCTTTGAGCATAAAAAGCTTGGGAACAGTGCCTAGGCCCTGAGCTCAAGTCCTAAGACTGGCAAAAGAGAGAGAGGAAAACAAACAGCTGCTTTCCACAAAGGGCAACCCAAAGGGTCTTCTGATAATATTTAATTTCTGGACTTTTAGAACATTCTGGAGTTGGGCACTGGTGGCTCACACCTGTAATCTTAACTACTCAGGAGTCTGAGATCTGAGTATTGCAGTTCAAAGCCAGCCCAGGCAGGAAAGTCCATGGGACTCCTATCTCCAGTAAGCCACCAGAAAACTGGAAGTGGTGCTGTGGCTCAAGTGGTAGAGCGCTAGCCTTGGGCTGAAGAGCTCAGGGACAGCGCCCAGGACCAGAGATTAAGCCTCAAGACTGACAAACAAAAAACCATTCTGGAATAGACCACTAGGCACTTTACTCCCTACCTGTCCTCCATCAGCCCATTAGGACCCCGAGGGCTTAACTCTCTACGTCAGGGGACTGATGGCAAGGAAGGAGTGAGGGGCTTGGCCAGGGCAGGGGGAAGACCCCCACTGCAGTACCAACTCCCCTGACACTCCGGCCTTAAGTCTGTCCAGCCCCCAGGTGAGAAAGATCTCATTGCCAGCCTGGAATCAGGATCCAGTGGGAAGAATGCCTTGCTCCTTAGCCTGGCAGGTTGGTGTTCACAGTGCAGTTAGTTGCCTTTACTGATATCAAAGCTAACGGTGCACACAGCGGCCATGTACTGCGCGAGTTTGCTTCCATCTTTTCTCCCTGGGGGCTCTAGCAGATATTGACGTCAGAGCCCTGACAAGTCCTGTGGTCTCTGCAACTTGTTTTACTGTCTTGAACTCAGTTTCCTGAACTTGTTTGACCAAATATTTCAGCCACAATCAGGTTCAGCAGCAAGGACACAAATACCAAATAACAGCAATTTAAACAAATCTCGTGCAGGGCTGACATAGTGGTTCAGACGCCATCAGTGACCAAGTGCCCTCCATCTCTGCAGTTTGGCATATGGTCTTCATGGCCCGTTTTAGCAACTAGAGCTCCAGTGATCACACCTGCATTCCAGGCCTCAGATCAAAGGGTAGAACAGAGAACCTGGGAGGTACCTTGTTGACCAAAACTTAATTACCTGGCTGTCCCTGGCTGCAGGAGGGACATTCCATATAATACCCAAACCCAAATTGGGAAGCAGTTGTGAGCTCCTGGGACTTCTCCACGGTTGCAATAAAATATATTTGGTTGAACCAGTCACTGGCAGCTCATACCAGTAATCCTAGCTACCTAGGAGGCTGACATCTAAGGATCAGTTTGAAGCCAATCTGGGCAGAAAAATCTGTGAGACTTTTTTTTTTTGGTCAGTCGTGGGGCCTGAACTCTGGGCCTGGGTGTTGTCCCTCAGCTCTTCAGCTCAAGGCTAGCGCTCTACCACTTGAGCCACAGCGCCACTTCCAGTTTTTTCTGCATATGTGGTGCTGAGGAACCCAGGGCCTCATGCATGCAAGGCAAGTGCTCTACCACTGAGCTACCTTCCCAGCCCCCTGTGAGACTCTTGTCTCCAGTTAACCACCAGAAAACCAGAAGTGGCCCTGTGGTTCAAAGTGGTAGAGTGCTAGCCTTGAACACAAAAGCTCAGGGACAATGCTCAGGTCCAGAGTTCAAGCCCATGATTGACAAAAAAAATATTTTGTTTGAAGACAGTGGCTTCTGAGGTTTATCCTGGCTAGACATGTGGTCCGGACGTTGGAGGGGCACGATGGGGACAGTCCTGTCCAGTCAAGGCAGGTGCTTTGAGGATCTCTAAGCTCTATTGCCCGCATCCTGTCTACTAACCATCACTAACCCAGTGCTCTTGTCTGTCTCTCCCTTAACCGCCCCTCCCACCCGCCCTTGTCCACGCTGGCCCCACCCCAGGCGGGCCAGGCTGTGCTGGCCTTCCAGCGGTACCAGATTGGCGCCGACTCGGCGCTCTTCTCCCAGGACTACATGGACCCCAGCCAGGATTCCAGCATGCCTTACGCCCCCTACGCGGAGCCCAGCACCGGGCCGGACCCCGCCGGCACGGGCGGCACCTACCAGCAGCCGGCCAATGCCTTCGACTCCGAGCCACAGGGCTACCAGTCGCAGGGCTACTGAGCCCCCTGGACCGCCTGCCCCTCCCCAAGCCCCGCCCTGCCCATCCCTCCTGGTCACCCTGCCCAGCACCTCCTCAGCCTCCACATTGCAGCGGGGCTGGGGCGGCCCTTGTGGGGGGCGCCCATGTGTGTGCAAGTGTGTCTGAGGGTGTGCGCCCAGTGGGGGCCCCGAGGGCAGGCGTCAGGGCTGCATTCATTCATGGTGTCCCCGCGCACTCATTGAGCACCCACTCTGCCAGGCCCGTGCTTGGTCGGGTAGTGAAAGGGGGGTGCAGAGGTGGCCCCGTGGGTCCCAGAGGTAGGAGCGGTGGGACAGATGGACTGGGTGGATTGCGGGAAGTCTGGCTGCGCAGGGCTGGGACACAGGGCGAGTGTGATGTCTGCAGCCCACCCACCCACAGCCTGTGAGTTGCAGCAGGCCTGCAGGGGGGAGGGGGGCGGAGCTGCTTCTGGTTCACAGTTGAGGAAAAGGGTGGCTGAGAGGTCAAGGGCAGTGGGGCAGCAGAGAGCCCAGAGCTGACGGTGCCAGCCCCCCCCCACTCTCCCACCACCCCCATCAGCATGACTTGCCTGGGAGGCCCTGGACCCTCTGCCCAGGAGACACCCCGACTCCACGACAAGCCCAGGACCTGTTGTACCCTGGCTGCACCCCACCCTTGGGGTTCACCTCCTAAGCAAGGAGCCGTCCCACAGGTAGCCCACCCAGAGCAGGCCAACCAGGCCTGCCTCTGGGCGAGCTCTCCGAGCCTTGCCCGGCCCTGGTGGTGGTGGGCAGTGTGCTGGGACTGGCCTGGCATCCAGGAAGTGAATGAGCGGGAGTTGCTGTCGGGTTTCTTGGTCACCCCGCAGGGGCCCGATCCCACCCCTGGGACCTCCCAGGACACAGGAGTGATCTGGAGCAGCCTGGGCATAGGTCTTGCCCTCCCTGACCTTCCGGAAGGTCCATGGGGGGTGGGGAGTCCATGGGTGAGCTGGCACGCCAAGGACAGGGAGAGTGCTGTGCAGAGGGGGGCACGGAGCGAGGCAGCAGGGCATCCGGAGGCTCAAGCAGGGTGGGGCTGCAGGCAGCAGTCGGGTCTGAGCAGTGGCAGGAAGGGTCCTTGCATGACGGTGCTGCACCTCTCTTCCTGCGGGTGCAGAGGGCACGCTGGCCGACCCCCTGGGGGGCAGAGCAGAGGGATGGTGTCCCCACCACCACCCCACAGCCCGCGCAGGACCCCACAGGCAGGTGATCACTGCTTGCTCCAGCCACCAGGTGCCAGTCGTCCATCTGGGGAGACCCAGGGTGTGTGGGGCCCATCTTCCCAGAGCCTGGGGAAGATGAATACAGAACAGTGAGGAGGTATTTCAAGTTGCACTGCAGGTTTACGGCTCCCAGCAAGGACCCTAGGGTGACAAGAGCAGGGAGGAGCAGCCCTGAACAGAGGGGGAAACTGAGGCATAGAGAACATTACTGAGCAGTGGAGCCCAGCTCAAGGGCAGCAGTGTTGGAAGAGAACCCAGCCGTCATTGCTGACTTGCATTTGTCACATCTGGGGAAGGGACTCCGTCACAGTCCCCCAGGAGACAGCTTGGGGACAGGCTATCTGCTAGGCTGAGCAGTGGGCCTGTGCCAGACAGGAGGTGAGGCCGCGGTGCTGCCAGTGTTCCTGGCACCTGATGGTTCTGTGTAGGTCCCAGAGGGCCGGGGACAACCTATGGATCGTGTACTCCCTCCCTAGCCCTCCTCCCCTCTCCCCCCCTCCCCTGCTGGTGTGCCCTGGAAACCCCAGGTGCTGCTTATCTGCTTCTTACTGAGCACCGATCAGCTGCTGGCAACACTGGGCCAGATGGCAGGGGGCAGCTCTGCTCTGCCCGGCCCTGGCCCTGGCCCTGACTGGCATCCAGGCTGGGGAAGTTTCCCAGACCCCTGCTGGGCTGCAGACTGCCACCTCAGGATGCATCCTCCCTTAGTCTTCTTGGGGTCCAGCCCAGGTGCGTGTCTGGACGAAATCTGCCCCCAGAAGGGACACGGGTGGGGACGTGCTGCGATGGACGTGAGACAGAGGGCATGAGGTGTCTGTGGGAGGCTTTAGGACACTCGGGTACCTTGAGAGGTTCACAGGGACAGTGACCCCGACCAGCGCCACCCCAGTTCCCTCTACGGTCCGCCCTCCCCCTGCTCCACTGTCCTTCGAGAAGGGCTGCCTGCAGCCTGAACACTCCTCTCCCCAAGCACAAGAGAAGGCACCGTACACGTCGAGACCATTTGAGAGGGTCAAGTGTGGGACAGGAAGGCCGCAATGTCCAAGGTCAAGCACAGAGCGAGGGGCGTGGCAACCCTAACCTTTGCCTTTTAGGTTAATGTCCATCCTGCCCAATCAGAGGCCATCCTCCCACAGCCCTGCCCCTCCCCCGCCCTCTCCAGGGCTCAGTATAGCTGAGAATCCTCACTGGTCACTGCTGGGGAGCCCTCACCTTGTCCAAGATCCCTTTGATCCACAGAGGAGCACAGGGAGGTACCCCCTCCCACCCGGAGTTGATGGAGGAGAGACTGGTCCAGCTGTCTCCCAGCGCTGTCCCTCACCTGACATCCCGCCCCGGGTGCCCTGGTCCTTCCCGCAGCATTACTGCCTGTGAATAGTATAAATATATATATTTTCTATATATAAGATGTATAATATAAGGCTCCACAACTATATCTGTGCGTGTGCGCGTGCGTGTGTGGTGAAGGGCGGCCCCCACGCTGGGCCCCCCGCTCTAGACCCCTCCCACCTGGGTAAGTCTCTCCAGAGTGGCCTGTGGCTCCCTCCTCTATGACGCCCATCCATCTGTGGTGAACCAAGTGACGGTGGTGACTTCTGGTGACGTAGTAATAAAGTGACTCAGACTCAGAACCTACAAATGGACTGCAAGTGTGTCACTGTGTTTTATTGTTGGTCCTCATTGTGGCTGGAGTTGCCCATTCACTCTCCACTCGTTTGTGGGACTTGAACTCGGGGCCTGGGCACTGTCCCTGAGGTTTGTTTGGGGTTTGTTTGTCGGTTGTGGGGCTTGAACTCTGGGTCTGGGCACTGTCCCTCAGCTCTTCAGCTCAAGGCGAGCGCTCTACTGCTTGAGCCACAGCGCCACTTCCAATTTTCTGGTGTTTTTTTTTAAATTGGAGATAAGAGTCTCATGGACTTTCCTGCCCAGGCTGGCTTTGACCGCAATCTGAGATCTCAGCCTGCTGAGTAGCTAGGATTACAGGTGTGAGCCACCAGTGCCCAGCTTTTTTGGTTTATTTATTTTTGCCAGTTCTGGGGCATATTCATCTTCATTCACCCTCTATTAGCCCTCCCACCTCCTCTTTTTTGTATTTATTAAATTTTTAATTAATTAACTAATTTTACTTTCCTTCCCAGCCTGGCTTCAAGCCCAGTTCTCAGATCTCAGCCTCCTGAGTAGCTAGGATTACAGGTGTGAGCCAGGGACGCCCAGCTCAAGGAATCCTTTTTATTTCATGGTTTGTGTGGTATGAAGGCATTGAACCTAGGGCCTCAGGCATGCTAGGCAAACATTCTACCACTAAGGCACATTCCTGGTCCATTTTTTGTTTGTTTGTTTTGATATCAGTCCTGGGGCTTGACCTCGGGCCTAGGCACTGTCCCTGAGCCTCTTTGTGCTCAAGGCTAGTGCTCTACCACTTGAGCCACAGCGCCACATGCCTGCATTCCCAGCTTCTTGGGATATGGAAGAAGGAGAATGGAAGTCCGAAGCTGGCATGGGCAAAAGCGCCAGACCCCACCTGAAAAGCGAACTGAAAGCCAAAGGGGTAGGAGTGTGGTTTGAGTGGAAGCGTGCTTGGTTTGCAAGAAAAACTCCTGAGTTCAAACTTCAGTATCACAAAGTAAGTAAAATGAAAATGATTGTGTTTGGTGCTAGGGGAAGTCAGCCGGGCCAGAGGATGCAGTGTAGACCTCTGAGCAGATGCCAGCCTGAGCTCTCTCCAGTGAGTGGAGGCTACAGCAAAGCTGAGTTCTAGAAAAGCACTGGAAGGGGAGGAGCTTGAGAGTGAAGGAGAGAAGGGACAGGCCAGTTTCCTCTCAGGTCCCAGCACTAGGCCCTGAGGCATGGTGACATGGAGGCCTCTGCGGACCGACCGGGAGGAGAAGCTGGTGCGGGCGATGCTGGTCAGAGGGCAGCAGAGGTAGCAGGGTGCCCGTGGCTCACACCTGTAATCCTAGCTACTCAGGAGGCTGAAATCTCAAGTTCACGGTTCAAAGCCAGCCCAGGCAGGAAACTCTGTGAGACTCTTATTTCTAATAAACTACTCAAAAAAAAAAAGCCACTTATGGCTCAAGTGGTAGTTCACTGGCCTTGAGCACAGAGAGGCTCAGGGACAGAGCCCAGGCCCAGAGTTTCACCCCCAGTCCCAGAAAATAAAAACAGCAGTAGTTATGGTTTATTTGATGAAGGAGCGGGTCAGTAAAAGATAGACTGAGTAAAGACAGGACAGCTCAGGTCAGGTTCTGGGGCTCCAACTTAAGTGGAGGAGCGGAGCAGGGTGCTGGGTCCTCCATGCAGCTGTCCATCACATTGATGGCCATGCCCACACTGAGGTGGGGCGATTAAACCAATCAAATTACTTCCCTCCATGATGGGACGGAGGGATTGGTCAGTTGGGAGTGGAAGGTGCTGGTCCCTAGTGGAAGTGGAGAGCTGCAGGATGCTGCCTGCATCAGGATGTCAGTTCCAGCTACCCAGGTTCCCACCCCTTGGCTTTTAGCCCCCCACCTCGACCCCACGCTGTCACTCATCGCCATTGGAAGCTGACCAACCCCAGCAAGGCCCAACCCCGAGGCTGTGGCCCGCCATGGCTGGTCAAGCAACTGCACCCTGCTGGATCCCCAGCCTCTGGGCTCTGGACCTATCTGCCCCCTTTCCCGTGTCTTCTATCTGGGTGCTGGTGGCTCACACCCGTAATCCTAATTTCTTAGGAGGTTGAAATCAGGATCAAGGTTCCAAACAAGACTGGACAGAAAAATCCATGAAATTCTTTTTTTTTAATTTTTATTTATTTATTATGAACATACTGTACAGAGGAGTTACAGTTACATGGGCAAGATAATGAGTACATTTCTTATCAAGCATTGTAGCCTCCTCCTTTGTTTCCCCTTCCCATCCCTTCCCATCCTC